ACATACCACTTCATCCTCTATCACAATCACTAAAGACTGTTAATATATTCTCCTTTTGTAATTACATCCATTGGTAAACTGACATATCTAATGTGATATCATAGTCATACCTTTACAATTATTACCGCTCCATCCTGTATCACAATCACTAGGACTGTTAATACATTCTCCTTTTGTAATTACATCCATTAGTAAACTGACATATCTGATGTGACATCATAGTCATACCTTTACAATTATTATCGCTCCATCCTGTATCACAATCACTAGTACTGTCAATACATTCTCCTTTTGTATTACATCCACTGGTACAGTGACATGTCTGTGTACATCCAGCTCCATATGTTCCAGAAGAACAATCTGGTAAAGTAAAAAAGCATGACATTTCAGTTTTTAAAAAAAATCAATATGTTCAATGTATTCACTTTATTTATACCCGTAAGTCATCAAGTAATGTGTTTCAGTTTTATTTTGCCAGACACATAAGTATTATGCTAACAATGTAATAACTTATTACTAACTAACTCCTGGTCCCAGTGTCCACAAAATCAAGCAACCATTTAATTCACTCTACAAAAATGTATATATAGATTGCCAAGCTACTGGAATGACAAATCATTGCTGTGTTTACATGGCAGCATTCCATTAGAGTCAAACTACTGCTCTTCCCACAGATTAAGAGTAGGTTATCTCCAATGTGTTTACACGGTTGGGCTGAATAATAGCTGAAATTTGCTCGATCAATTCAGTTCGACCAGAGCTAAACAGAACAGTGCCGTAAAATACTAAGTATGACAAAAAAAATTTTGTGATATGTCAACATAAACCTAGTGGAATACGTTGCCATACCATGACCGCTTCTTCTTATCATCGTGTCTTTAAAAAGTTTCTTCAATTTCCATTGTATCTGTTTGTATAATTTTGTACCTAATTTTTCTGTTTCCTCTTGACCTATCTATCTATCGCAGTATTTCTTTACTCTGCCAAACAAGTATTAGAAATGACAGGTTACTTAAAAAAGATGATTGAGGACATGATTTTGACAGATGGCTGGGCCTGATGCGTATACAAAGTTGGAACCAGGTTGAGCCCAACC